GTCGTGGAGTAGCTCAGCTATTGCCTTTAAGCAGTGCTCAGTTCATGAGCAAACATTCATAGTGCGATAAGTCAATTACTTGACGCTTGTCAGCTGTAATGGTGTTCCCAGATCCACGGTGCTGTGACGAATCAAAGCAGCTGGAGGCGTGCGGAAGCGAGAAAAATCAACTATCAAAATAAATTTTCTCAGCCCAAATACGACCCCCCTCCTGGCGACCAAATACGACCCCCCCTATTGGGGATTCCCCAACAACGATGTGCCCTGCTTCACGTCACTGTACGTCACGGTACTAATGGGTTGTTTCGTTGCATGAAAAAAGAAATTCTGAAGCGACGTCTTTCTGTCCTGACTAAGTCGCTGAACTACCTTCTTCGACGTTCCGATCTCCTGTACAAATGGCGAACGGTCCTGCTTGAAACAGACAATGTACTTCAACGTTGTACGCAAATCCTCCGACTTACGCTTCAAATTGCTCGTTGTCAGCATCCGATGGCCACTCCCGCCCATTATCTTCATGGTTCTCACCGCCGGTGGTTTTCTAATGAACCGCTGCGCAGTACGTTTGTTCGTCTTTCTAACGCTTCGTCGATATTCATAGCCCTCTGCGCAACTTTCCCGTTGAATTTACATTGGACTTGGAAAATTTGTACAAATTTGTCATCTGTCCATGTTGGTCTTAACCGCAACCTTAAAGTTTTACGCAAACCTTAAAAAAGTAGAAAAATTGCTTCAAAAGCAAATACATTGAAATGTTTGCGCGGAATTTCCTGGAATGCCTTCAGTATAGTATCACAATTTTATTACCATTCAGCCGCCTTTTCCCCTACTAGGGTCACTAGGACACATAACAGGGGATGGAATGCAGTTTTTTCCTCCTAACAATAAGATTACTGGGGAGGAAAAAATTTTGCTTCAATTCCCTGTAATGAGCCCTGGTGGCCTCTGGTAGGAGAAACTGCTGCAAACTGTTCGTAGTAACGTAGTACGGTACTGACTTCATGTTTTCCTAATTCTTTTTCCATGGATTTTCTTTTGAGGCGAATTTTCTAGTTTTGGTGATTTTTTGGCAATTCCTAACTTCAGCTTTTGTATTCTTTATGTGTACTGATCTCAGCTTTTGTATTCTTTATGTATACTGATCCTAAATCTATTGCAGAAGCTCAACTTCCAATTCTGGAAAGCAATGCTTAGACTTAGGGTCCAGTCCCTGAAGTGGAACAGTTTTCAATGGCATAAGGGCCACAGAACCACATAGAAGCTCATTTTTTTTCAGCGTGGTCTTCCACTGGTTCTATAGTGGCCATAGCGTCGTCATGTGCTCTGGGATATCTCGCTGTAGATTGGTTCAAACTTCGCGTCGCTCACGCTGAAGCACCTACAAAAGAAAAAGAGTTATTGCCACCGGAAAGAAAAGATCTCCCCATATTCAAGAAGGAGGACGTCAAGAAGCACGGGAAAGATGCTGAATCAATTTGGGTGACATACAAGGCAGTAAGTGCAAAACTTGGATTCCATTCTGTTTACCGTTACTGCCAAACCTTTCAAGGAAGCCCCAGCAGATCGATCCGGCCATTCGCAATGAGGTGCATACCATTGTATGCATTTGCGACCGCCGGAACTTCAAATCTAGCCTGTTGGCGAATTTGCGCATCGTCGATTAGTACACGAGTGCATAAAACGTCCTTTAAACCTCCACAATTTTTGCATGCAGTTGTCTTTTCACAGATCAATAAACCACCAGGCCGCGGTTGTTACGAGGCTTATAAACGGATCTGGTAATCGACACGCTGAGAACATTTACCTTGTACGTTATTCGCAGTTCGCAAGGGAAACATCCACAAGTATGAGTGACTGCAGTCTAAGGGACAGCCTTTTCGTGCCGCGTGCAGCGTAGCCGCCTCCAACTGCATATTCGACGCCGAAAATAAGTGTGACAGTTTGTATAGCGGAAACCACCATTAGGCGCTGCGGAACGAATTTCCACTTCTCTCGCCCGCTTTGACTGGGCACGTTCGAACAAGGGAGGCGCTCAAGTAGTCATGCTGTAGTTACTTGCCACTAGTTGTCGTGGGCCTGTTCTCTCGTCGGTGACTGGCTTAGACTCTAGTTATCAGAGGAACTTTAATGGTATTGGAACAGAAGTCAGGAGTCAGATGATGCTGAAATGCAATGAAAGCTGCCGAAAATGAACAACGTTGCCACGGCGCTGAAATAGGTGGAATGGGGAAGTAGACCGGTAAAGGACTGCTTCTTAGGAAACAATGCCATGAAGTACGTACGGTGTCGTGTCAGCGCATAATGCTAATCTGCTCTCTCCGAGAACTTCAATTTTTACGAAGTTAGGTGACAAATCTCGAATTCGACGATGAACTCCACCTCACCATGGGTATTTTTGACTCCTGAAGCACGAACTATGCGTGCATAATTGACACGAAAGTGCGTTGTTACATGCTGGCGGGTAGCTAACATATCGCCCAAGCTTTCCTCTAGGCTACAGGCGCATAAACTTGTCAAGGAGTTCCTCTGGAATTCCTTCTGCGCTCGAGTACGGGTGAACGCTGACCTACATCTTCGAAGTATTTCTAGCCATTTTTGGGAAAAAAGCAAGCAAGTGCGGCCGTCGAGCTGATCAATGGCAGAGCAAAATTGCTTGAAAGGCGGCACGACACTAACTGCGCTGCGTTTCATTACCACGATTGTTGCAATAGTTTCCAGTCTTTATGACGCCGCTTGCGCGCAAAGATATTCAAGCTCACGTGCGCAAACAGCGCGGGAAGGAAAAAACCTTCGTGATATCCCTTTAGCAAAGAAACCTCCGCGATAACTTTGAAAGCGAATCAGAGCTTCATGGTCTTACGAGGCCGTACGTATGTCTGCATGCTTATTCACCAAATGGCGAGACGCACCTTTGCGCGAATCCTCTTGGCATCAAGGACTGATCGTCTCCTAGGTTAGAGACATCTCGTTTTCTGTTCACCATTCGGCTGTTTAACAGGAAGCCTCTTGATGTATACGGTTGTGGAGGAAGTCTTGTCCCGTGCTGAGCCTTTTTTTATTTTAATTCACATACAGTGGCGAATTAGTCAACCAATAGTATACTCGTCATAGTTAGCCATATTAGTTTCTGCCTGATGGGCCAGCGTTGAGCCTTCCCCTGCCTCGCCAGAACTTAAGGGGCCTTGCGAGCAGAGTAATCAGCGGCCTTTCGACTGATATCATCAAAGTTGCTGAAAGTTTTCTTAGCTAAGAAAGCCCTAAGGAGGCGGAGCAGGTAGCAGTCTTAGGGGACTACGTCAGGAGAATATGATAAGCGGGGACTGGTCTCCCAGCCTTGCTCCTCAATTATTTGGTAGGTCTCCATAGCAGGTATGGGGTCTCGCGTACTACGAAAGAGGTGCCCCGAAGCTAGTCTCGGTCACTTTTCTCCGACAATTTCCACCAGTTTCAGGAGCACTGTGAACATTGGGCACGATGGACCGTGTAGTTCTCATATGGGGCAGCTGTTGTCAGCGGATTCTCTCCGCGGTCCCAGAAGCAGTAAAGAAGAACCTTCTAGGCGAATCACATGCCCGTTTGGAAGCCGAGGATGGCCGTCTGGCTCCTAGAGAGAAGGAGAGACACACGGTACTGTGTGAGTTGAAATCACAGAGGACCCATCTCTCATCTCCACTAAACAGTCTCCTTAAAACTCCTTCTGACGAGGCCGGAGAAGGGGAGAAAGGCGCGTACCCATGTGCACCAGCCTGCCAGTCGCGGTCAAGGCTGATGGGTGATCCATCGACCAGTAGTACTTTTTGGTATCAAGGGCTTACACGCGAGCGGTTGGACGACTGTCAGTTACTGGTGACAATCCGAGTCTCTTGTCGCCAAAACTGTACACCCGCATCCTTCTTGACAAATCTGTCGAGAACGGTGGAGCTTTTCACTTCGTTGAGGCGTCCCGACCGAGATTTTTCAGGATCGTATCTCCTTTTCGCGAAGTGAGCGTACCAAAAGTGAACGGTCCTGATGGTAGTGGTGTCCTCCGCCAATGCACTATTGATGTCGCACACAGCCGCCGTGACTCCAGTGCCGCAGGGCCACCGGTAGAAGATGATGACGCGAAGATGCTCCTGTGAAACTAAAATCGTAATTAGACCCAGGAAAGAGCAGGCGCCCTCACACACCTCTTGCGAAAGCTCTCAGAATGTTCTACAAGCATGGCATATTACCTCATGTTCAAGCATCGAGAATCAAAAACTGTAAGCTTTTAAAGGAAACACTGACAGGACTTTCCTTCCATATAATATAACATGATAAAAGCAGGCGTAGTTCGGCGAGGTGTGGAGGGAGGGGGCATTTTGCACTTTTGCTGCTTCTCTAGTCCGGTTTACAAGTCCCTGGTGGGACCTGTGAGCTGTTCTGAAGATGGAGCAAGCTCGTCGATATCATGATAAAACCTGTCAACTCAAGAAAAGGCTCTGTAGACGGGTAGACACGTCGATGGGAAGTAGCAAAAGTGCAAATCTCCTCCATCCCGAACCGCTCCAATGCAGCAAATTCAATGAGAAACCTTTGAATAACGTACGAAGGATTGTCGTTAATCTTCCGTCCCGAAGGGTATCCCCCCTCTCGAGAAAGACCGTTAATGTAAGCAATTATTTGAAGCGGTTCATCGAAATTAAACTTGTCGATGTATGCTCCAGATCGGACAAGCTAGTAAATTCCCAAGAGGCTCCCTCAACGAACAAGTGATGGCTGGCATTACATTTGGCCCTGCGTGTAACCAGCGTCGTTGAGCTATTCCTAGTGACTTTGGTTTGCAGATAAGTTATAGGGTTCAAGACCACAGTGGAGGTGAACTTCCAACTATAGAGCATTACCAGATCTATTTTTTGAGCGCCATTCCACTACTACCGTCCCAAGAACTCGGTCATCTTCTTTTCCGCATTTTTATCTGGTATGTGTGGAAATGTCCAAGCGTCCACACTTTAACTTGTATACGAGGAAACGTCTGAATGGTCAAACTCTTCAGAAATTTAGATTCGGTTTATAGATTAACATTGTCTTTAGCCCTTTTACGTGATCTGAGCACCATTTAGGGTGTGTATGACATCACCGAATTTCAAAAACTACATCCCGGCGGAGATAAAATATTACTGGCTGCCGGTGGTGCGGCCGACCCGTACTGGTCCCTCTACGCCCAGCACAAAACAGAAGAGGTGACTTTACCCTTGTCAAGTTTAGGTTATACACCCAGATAAAAGCTTAACCGTTCAAGGTGATGGAGATCTTGGAAGAATACCGCATAGGAACTCTAGATCCGAAAGATGTGGAAGAATCTAAAACGGTAAGTAGCAGTCATTTGTTCCAAATTTCTCGTTTTCAACTCTTGTTCTTCTTTCCTTTCCCTTGCTTTTTCCCTTGTTATTCTTTCCCTTCCTTGCTTTTTCCCCTCTATTATGGAAATTGTACTACACCACAGAAGTGTACTGTTGAAAAGTGGACATCTCTTAATTTGCTCATTTTGTTATTTGAACTCAGGTGGACGCATCCAACCCGTTTTCCAAGGATCCCGAGCGACATCCTGCCCTTGTGGTGAACCAGCAACAGCCCTTCAACGCTGAGGCCCCTGCTGAGCTTATTGTGGACCATTTTCGCACTCCAAACGAATTATTCTTTGTTCGACACCATATGCCGGTTCCAGAGGTTACTTTTTTGCGGAATATTGCTTTGAGTGTTTGAGCAACTGTTTGGATCCTCTTCCTCCCTTACGATTCAAGGTACATTACACTGGCTCTCCTTCGAGAGTGAGTCCCAGATATGAATTTGTAGATGCTGCGTGACTTTTTATTATTGAAAAAAACAGAGGGAATCGCCGTATTCCCTTTAATGAGGTCCCTTTTTCTTGCAGTGTGAATTCCGAGAAATTTGAGAGGAAACGTGGGGGAACATGTAGTGTTTACACTATTTATACTAGAGGCCAGACAACAAAGGGTAACAGAGCACGCAGACGAGCCAGCAAGGTACAGCATCGTTGTGAGAAACACTAGGGGGTCGTGCTTTTCCGCTGGGGAGGGGGGGGGTCGTATTTGGTTGTTGGGAGAGGGGAGTCGTATGTGCGTTTGAGAGAAATTTGCTGCATTGAGGAAAAATTTTTCCCCTTGAATTTTCGCGTGATTTTGCCTGTTTCATGTACTATATACCCCTCCCCCCTGCTTGACAGCAAAATTTTTGGAGAAAAGTAGGAGAATTCTCGGCAAGTGCTGGAAAAAGTGGTGGGAAGTTGAGGTTACTTTGAGAAAATTTCCCTTTTCACATGACCTATGTACCCCCTCCCGCCCCCTCCCCTTAACGGAAAATTTTTCTGTGGAAAAAACTGGACTGGAAAATGTGGGAAGTTGATAGATAGGTGTTGGGGAAGGGGAGGGGTCGTACCGAGACCCTCATTCAGGTGGGGGGGGGGTCGTACTGACACCCTGTTCCTGAGGGGGGTCCTACCTACTACCATTTCAAACATCACAAGCTGTACCCTGCGAGCCAGGCCGTTATTCTCCCGCAGCCAGCATATTTTACCCTGAGGTGTCCTTGCCATGCGCTTCCGATTCGCAGAGTCTCTAAGGTTACGACCTGTCAAAGTTATTCGCGGAAGGGGTCGTACGTATCAGCTAAGGCAGCGTTCATACTTCGCGACAGCAGCGGCGACCTCGCGATCGATCGTCGGTACGTGGCAGAGCGCGCCCCAACGCTATTATGGACCGCTCGCTTGATAAATAAGGGAATCCAACTTGTGAGACCTTCTTTTTAATAATGGCTACTAACTGATAACTTACGACTTTCCA